ATCATCGGCCCGTCTTTTGCCGTTTTCGCGGCCACCCCTGCCCCCTAAAGAAATTCAAGTTGGGCGTCCAAGGCCCTTTCGTCCGTACCGCGCATCCTTCTGTTCTGGTTTGGCTGTAGATCTGCGCATGCAGACACGAGTCCAGACGCAGCCGGGCAGGTTCAGGGATGGCCAGACAAGGCTTGAACAAATAGAGGATGCCCCCAATCACGTGTACGAGCCTGCCCCCCCGTCCGGTTCGCACAGCCGCCCTCATGTCACGACAGCTCGTGTGGCGAGTTCTCTCGGAACCCACGTGAACTCACGTACGCGCACGAGTCTGTTGCGCTCGTACCCACCCTCTCCTAGGCCCTTGCCTCCTCACCCCGCATCCTCTCTGTGCGACCCGACGCCCACCCTCGCCAAGGACCGTGCGGCGTCGCCGTCGGGGGCCTGTCGCCGATCCATCGGCGGTATGTCGCCGATGCGAGCTCGACGATCTCCCCCCCCCCCCTGAGCTGGCCCCCCCTGCTTGCGCAGCACCCGAGGGGGGAGCGCCGCGTGCCTCGGCCAGGGGCTGCAGCCCCCCCTCGGCTATACAGCTGTGCTCCGCGGGCGACCCGTGTGCACCGTGCCGCGTCGGCGTCTCCCGAGGCGTCGTCGGTTCTCGACCCACGAACGGTGCGGTGCGCAGTTCGTCGGCCCTTTGGAGCCGGCTTCCCTCCCCGGTCAAGCCTTGGCCGCTTTCGATGACCGCGCCCCGCTCGAGAGGCTTCGAGATGGCCTTCAAGGCCCTTGCATCCTTGCCGTGCATGCTTATGCTACGGGTCGACTATACGCCACCCCTGGAGGAGGGGGAGTGCCCGCTGCACGACCACATCAAGGCCGCGGAGGCCGCGGAGGAGGCGGAGGGTGGCGGGGGCGTCGAGGCCCTGGTGGGCGGCGACGGCCTGGACCCCACGGGGCGGCCCCACGAGCTGGCCCACGACCATCACCAGGCCCGCGCCGGGCGGAGCCCCCTGGCCGAGGCAAGAGCATCGGCGAGGAGGTCTTCGGCCATTCCTGGCGTCCAGGGGGCGGAGGCGCAGAGCATCGGCGGGAGAGGTGTCTGGCCGCTCGGCGTCCGGGGGCCCTCGACGGGCCCGCTGGATGCGCTCCAGCGGCTGCGTCTCGCCGCGGGCGCTCCAGGGCTGCTCGGGTCGCCCCGAGCGGCCGCCAGAGGCCCGGGCTGCGGCCCGACAGCCACGAGGCCAGTTCCGGGTCGGGGTTCGCTGCACGAGTTTGCCGATGGCAGGTCGGCTCGCGTGTGGCTCCCGTTTTGCCGGGCCTCGTTCTGGTCCGCGCAGCGGGGTCAGCGAGCCGTATCGTTTCGTGGCTTCTTTGATGGCGCTTTCTGTAGATTCAGGCAAGTTTGCTTGCATGGCGCATGGCAGTTCCCCCACCCACCCCTCGCCCCCTCCACCGCCTCTCTCTCCGCCTTTTCAAGCAATGCTGGGCCGAAAAGGCATGTCAGTGAGTCCCGGCTTGCGTAAGGTCCAGATTCCCTTTCAGGCCTCGTCATGCCCCCCCTCCCCCTCCGTGCACTTAAACTTGCCAGAATCTAAAGAAACACAGCCTCTTTATTCCACGGGGAGATATGCCAGGCCCATCTCGGGCCTGCCACTCCAGTCGGCATCGTTTGTCCTGTCCACGGGATGGCCGATGGGGATCCGAGATCCTGGCGTTGCAATTTTTTTCACAGCGGGCGTCCTCGCCCAGTTTCGGGCCCGGGGGCCCATCCCAGATCGATCTGGCTCGAAAAGTGCCGCGGGAACATTGGGCTTGTGGCTCCGGTCGTGACTTTTTGCGATGCCGCATGTTTCCTGTAAAGTGAGATCCCAGGGGAGCAGATAGTTCAGAGCTGGGCTCCAAGGGAGGTGCTCGAGTGCCACCGGGGCCGCCCGAGCGCTGGCCTAGCCTCGGCCGCAGTGAGTCATGTCAGTGCAGTGGCCTCCAGGGCAGCAGCTGAAGGGACTCGGCCGACCCGAACGTTGACCGGGCCCTTTGTGATCCCGAAAGGCTTTCTCCAACTCGCTTCGAAAAATCACGGCGGGAGGCTTTCTGCAATTTTCGGCCTCGGGGGCTCTCACCAGGCAGCAGCTGGAGGGACTCGTCCGTCTTGATCGCTGACCAGACATCCTTGTGCTATCGAAACCGACGTGGGTAGTTCATGAGCCGGAGCAGAGAGGCCTTTTATCCCCCTCCGTAATGGAAGGGGTCTCTTCACAGAAGGGGCCGCTTCTTGTGCGACAGAAGGGGCCGCTTCTGTTGCGTCCGTTCTGCTACGCCACCCCGTTCCGTCACAGATGGGGTCTGTTCGAGTGCCTTTCCGTACTGTCCAAAACCTGTTCCAAAAATGATGCCCCCCCCCCGTCCCCCCCCCCGGATCCCGAGTGTCATCAATACACCCGCGGATAAATATTTGTTTAACTGGCCCCCTGGAAAAATATCCGACGGAGAGCGAACAGACGCGTGTATTGTAAACATATAAACGCACGCGCATGCATTGGATCATGCATTCGAACTTCTTGCGTGCAGACGTATAGGCTGCTCCGGTCGACAAACAAGTAGTGCCAAGCGTCGGCGACGATCGTCGTTGACGCGCCGAGTGTCGGCGCCGATCGTCGTTGACGCGGGGGGTCTCTAACTGGAGACCTGCCCTCCCGCGCGACCCCAACGCAGGAATCTGCCCCTGGACGCGGAGTGCCAGGGCGGTCGCGGGGACGTCCCCGGCGGTGTGGTCTGCCCCGCCTTCCTTTTGTTTTCTATATGCGCACTACAGCGTCGCGATTGTTTTTCTTTTGAAAGGGTCCCCCCATTTTTTTGTTTATTTTCCTAACTGTTGGTAACAATTAACGGAGGTGTGGTGGCTTAAGAAGTAGAGGTCGCTGCATTTCGGCTCATGGGTTTCGGAGAGATTGGGGACGAAGACCGGCAGAAGGTCTCTGCCCATTTTGACGCTGTCCGTATCGCCGCAGGCGTTGTCTATTTGGGTCAGCCGGTTTTGAAATACGTTGGTTGTTGGATGTCGTCCCCCTTGTTCCGTCCCCTGTAGGGGCGTACCAGTATGTCATATGTCCATTACCAGAATGGGCCAGGGTTTCTCACCGCCACCAGCCCACCCCCTCGATGTGGGTATGGACGACGGAGACGGCATCCATCGCCAGCTAAGCAGGAGGGTGGGTTGTTTCCCATCGGGGGATGGGAACAGGTGTAGAGATGCTGACCCCAGGGGTTCGGAACTCCAGCAGAGCAATCGAGCAGACCATGGCTGGGCAGAACAGAGCAGGCATGCGACGTGCACTCAAGCCAGGATCGTGGTGGGGGGCAAGGCGGTGCAGTGTGCAAGGCAGATGCAGCACCTGATTCCAACGGTACGCAAGGCATGGCGCACGCACACACGCACACAGGTCGACCACTGCGGGGACCTGGAGAGGCGAGCTTCTGGCGACGGAATGCACGCAGCACGCATACAATGTAGCGCCGTTCTTTTGATTTTGTTTTGGTCGTTCTTTTCGAAATGGGAATGGGTACAGAACGATTGGCGAAGAAGGCCGACAACAGTCCATGTCCGTCTGTAATGGGACTCGCTGTCGGCGTCGCCGCTAGCGTTGGTCATGTGGTACAGACGGTCGTCTGCCCAACAGCGGCTGGTGCTTGTTTATTCAAATGACTTACGCCATCCCGCCGACCCCCACAAGGAGTGAGTGTTTGAGACAATCGTGCAAATTATACCTTGGGTCAGGAGGCTCGTTGGATGCATATGAGGGGCTCTTGTTGTTAGTTTGCATATTACTCATTGTGCCCGTCTCTTTGGTGCCCGTGTCGGGCGTGCCACACTTCGCGCGAAGAGAGAACCATGCACATACACAGATCCTGGCAAGGCTCACCCTGAGCCCGTCGCCTTCTCACAGTGCACCGTCGAATTCCACACTGTAGGATTTCTTCCTCCTGGCCATAAGCAATACAGCAACATAGAGCACATTGAACATATAAGACATGGCACACATAATCTCGTCCTTCTAGCCGTGTCCCTTCGGTTGCTCTCCCGTCTCCCGGATCATTGGAGTGGCCGCCCCACAACCGCCACCAGGCCGCGGAAGGCGCGCAGGGAGGGGAGCACAAGGGCGACGGACCCATGCACCTTTGGGACTACTGCGTGCCGCCCGAGGCGCGGTCCCCCTCCTCATCCTCTCCCTTCTGGTCGTTGAATTCCCTTCCCGTTCCGATTTGTCCTTCTCTTCCTGCTCTCTTTACTTCACCTCACGACACAAGCGACGCATACGCACACACCGAGCAAGCGGTAATAGCAGCGTGTAAAGAGTTCCACGAGGAGCAACCGCAGCACCAACATCAGCAGACATAGGGCAACGACGAATATCACGACGAAGCCACCCGAATCCTACGAGCACTCATCCAGCAGCGCAGGAACACCACATCCCGACGCAACAGCCTGAACATCCCTCGGCAAGCGTATTATGCGGCAGCACCAGCTTATCAAGCGAGCTCAGCGACCCATCTTAGTGAATGATTTGGTACGCAACTTACGAGGTCATACAAGATATTTGGCATCAAGTCAGGAACAAGTAAAGACATGATACTGAGCATAGCCACGAAAGACGCTGCCAGCGAAACGGACAGCGAGACATCCTCGCCGACTTTATGAATAGCTGTACAGACGCTGCGCAGACACCAACGAACCTGCAGACGCTCAGCCGCACAGGGCGCGTGACCATGCTCAACATCATGCCCACCATGGGGTCTCACACTTCACCAAAGGAACTTTTACCACGCAGTGATGCAACTCAAAAGCAGCAAGTGCAAAGCCACTGCCAGTATCACCGCGGAGCTGCTTAAGGCCGAAGGATACAGCATCGGACTGCATTTGTTGAAGCTCTCCAACGACATTGTAACACAGACCGGAGCCCCCTGAGCAGTGGAGATACACAACGATCAGTTGTCATTTACACGTCTCGCGACCCGCAAGTATTCCAAAACTACAGACAAATATCCATCATTCCACTACTGTGCAAATTGATGTCTCGACTATTATGCAACCGACTAGAGGCGAACTTCGAGTCAGAAGAATCACCAGGCTAAACTGGATTCCGTAAAGGGTATTGCTGAGCAGATTTTTCGCCGCGACTTATTGCATGAGTAGTCTTGAAAGTGGCAACTCCCCTGCTCGGCCGCCGCAATCGACTTTCAAAAGGTGTTTGTCTGCGTCGACCACCAACACCTTCTGGAAACACTTCGACGACATAACGTCCGCCACGGTTTAGACCGACGCCGATAGCATGGAATTCAGCTTAGAACGCGGGGTCTAACAAGGCGACCCACTTAGCTCATACTTCTTCAACGCAATGATCGAGCACGTCTTGCAGCAGATCAAGCCTTCCTGGGAGCACAAAGAACTTGGGATCAACTTGGGGCACGTCAGGTCTACGCGACTCGGAAATTTACGGTTTGTAGACGACGTGTACGTCCTTGCGCTGAATTTGCGACAACTGAAGGATATCTTTTGGGATTTCATGAGAGAAACTGGAAATTGCGGGCTTGCGCTGCACCCCGACCTAACAATGCAACAAGGGCGGACCATCACACACGCACACATCAGCGATGCCGGCGACAGCATTGAACTTCTCAGCGCAGACCAGACAACCAAATACTTGGCCGCAAGTTGACGCTTCACGATAGCAATTGCCACCACGCGGAGGTCACCAATGGAATCGCGTCTGGATGGCGGAGGTTCAACATGCTTCGCGACGAGCTCACGAACAAGCAGTACCCACTACAGCAGATTTCATTCAAAGAGGTACGCACGCAGCAGTATATCTTGCAAACGGGGCCCGCGTAGATGGGTGGACGAGGGTGTACTGTAGACGAACATGGCGCGATGGGCAGGGCGAATCGCAAGTCAACCACAGAACAGATGGGGCCGACTTGGTGCGACGTGGGAGTCGGACATCCATGACCACCAGCAAGCATGTCCGCGGACAGGGGGGGGTCAGAGGCAACTCTGGGAAGACGATGCCACACAATTTTTTCAGCAACTATGTTTTTTTTCTCCTCCGGCGGTGAGCCGGACGATGGTTTACACTAACGTTTGATGGGGCAATTTGGAACAACCATTCCTACGCCGCACCATCTGCGACTGAGGGCCCTGGCCCGCCCGCGCGGGCCTTCCAGGCTCCAGCCCCTGGCGGTCACAGGCGCGCCTTGCCTTGCCTTGCCTCCTCGTCCGACCTCCTCCTCCTCCTCCTCCTCCTCCTCCTCCTCCTCCTCTGTCATCTTGTTTTTTATGCATCGCTCCTCCCTGTCGCACCCCCTAACGTGTCGATAGGGTGGGCGTTTCGCTTGAGACGTCGTCGCCTATAATATATGATCATGAAGCTCGACCTTTCCAGCAGCTTCATTGAGGGAGGATGGCTCCTTTTCCAAAATGTGGCTCTCGCCTTGGCGCCGCGCACATCCGTCTTAAAAGCTTGCAGCGATTTCAAGGATGGAGGGCGGGCCGTTTTCCACATGTGGCTCTCGCTTCAGCGTCGCGGACATCAGTTTCAACAGTTGTGCACCAATTTCAAGGGTGGAAGGCGGCTCTTTTCAACATTTGGTTTTCGCTCCAGCGCCGTGCACATTCGTTTTCATAGTTTTCGGGAATCTCACGGGCAGAACATTTTGAAGGGTTCGTATGGTCGAAGTTCCAGGCATGGCACGTTGGCGCGACTTGGGGTAGTCCTGACGCAACAGTCACGTTGATTCGGGGTGTTGAAGTACCAGGAATGGTGTCGTGGCGCAGTTTAAGATTGTCTGGACTCAACAATCACGTTGATCCGCAGCGTTGGGGTCGATGGAACGATCTATCAGGCACGACTGAGGATTATCAGACTAGTGTTTTCTAATGGGCCACTCCCCGCAATGATAATATATGTTCGACGACCGACAAGAGAGCTTGGAGAGAAGTTTTGCGGCAACACCGTTGATGCGTCTTGGGTTTTCTCTGGTCCTCCTCCTACTCCTCCCCCCTTCTCCATTTTGTACCCCGTCCCTTTCCCATCTGCAGCCATTTCTACCCCTTCTCCTCTTTCTACCCCTCCTCAACCATCTCACGTCCGAAGGCCCATCCCCCGTGGCTGCGCACACGGGTGTTTTCCGGGCCAACTTTGAAATGGCCTTGTTCGCAGGAGCCGACATGAAGAAACGTGGCGCCGCACGCCATCAACCACAATGTTGAGATCAGGCGCGCGCGCGCGCCCGCCATGCCGCCAGGAGACCCACACTTCCGTCCGTCCTCTCCTCCTCCCGCCCATCCAACTCTTTGCGAGCAGTGGCGCCAGTCGCAGTGCCGACGCTAGAGTGCAGGCAGGTATTGCGAAGCAGGAGCAACACATCATCAGCGACACTGCCGGGAACGGTGCGTGTGAGAAAGCAAGCGGGCAGGGACCAGCCAAGATCAGCAGCGCAGTTAGCTACAGTGCTGTGAGTGGTTCGTGCGCGAAAAGTAGGCGAGCAGGGGCCAGCCAAGATCAGCCACGTCATCATCCGCTACAGTGCTGTAGGCGGTTCGTGCGTTGAAGCAGGCGAGCAGGAGCCGACCCAAGCCAGCTGTGTCGTCGGCGGCGATGCTGGAAACTGCTCGTGCTAGAAAACGGCATTTGCAGCAATGCTTCTCATCGCGAGTTGCGAGAAGACAGGCAGCGGCAGCAGCGGTTGCCGTTGCCCGATGGCCGCACGTGAGCAACATCTTCAAATACATCGCAGCGGGGACCAACTCGTGCGAGCAGGCACGCAGTGGCATCAGGGCTTGTTGGCGCGAGAGCCCAGCAATGGAGGCCGCGGCGTGCAATGTGGCAGGAACAAGGCAATTCAACACAGAAGTGGGTGCTCGTTGCTCAGCCAGATCGTGTCCGCTCGCGGCGGAGAGGGCACTGGCAGCCCGCGGTGGGTCAAAGGTCAACCCGGCGTCTTCAGCCACAGCGCTTGGGTCACGGAGTGCAGCGAGAAGGCAGACAGTGGCAGCAAGGATTGGCAATGCCAATGCGAGGAGGCAGGCAATGGCAGCGTTGATTGGTGCAGGTAGTGGCAGCGGATGCTGCCAGTGCGAGGTCGCAGGCGAGTTGTGGGCAGACCGTGCGAAGAAGCAGGCAGTGGCAAGCGCTTTGGGCAGTGCGAGTAAGACTGGGGTCAGCATGTGCGAGAAGCCGGGCAGTGGCAGCGGATGCTCTCAGTGAGAGAAAGCAGGAGTCCGCGAAGCGCAGAGCGTGAGACAGTAACATGAGGATGAACTCGAGCGAGAAGGGGCGGGAAGTGCCAGACATCAGCTACAACGCTGGGGACAGCACGAGCGAGTCTCGGGCGAGACGGCAGGCAGTGGCAACGTGGACTGTTGGTGCGAGAAGGCACTGGCAGCTTGGGTTGCCGGTGCGAGAATGCGGGGACAGGTAGCAGCATTGGTCCGTGCGGTGCGATAGAGCAGGCAATGGCAGCGCGAAAACCACCAGTTACGATGCTGGGAACGGTTCGTGCGAGCAGGCTGACAGTGGCGGCGCGGAGTGTTAACGCGAGAAGGGAAGCAGCGACAGCAGGGTCTGGCACCGCGGGAAGGAGGCAAGTGCGGGAACCAGCACCATCAGTTACAATGGTGGGAGCCGTTTTGTGTGCGAAAGAGCAGGTTTCCAACGGAAGGCAGCAGGTGGCGGTGTTCGCCCTTGCGTTCAGCAAACCGTCGCAACGGGCCATCTTGTCGGAGGACGTGGTGCGGAAGATGGGCCAACCATTTGGGGATGCCCACCCTCCCTCTTCGCTTCTCGTCACCACGGCTGGGCCCCCAACCGTCGCGTGCGAGCAACGGCACGGGAGAGAGATAGCTGGGATGCGCGCCGTCAGCTACAATCATTGTCGCCTGGGACTGGCGTGGTGGCAGGGGGGTCTCTTTTTTTATCGCCGCCGTGGTTCTTGCTTCGAAGATCTGGAAGCTCGGCTAGTAGAATCCTGCAGATTCCTCCTCCTGCTCCTGCTTCTCGTCCGTATCCTCGTCCCTGTCTTCTTTTTCATTTTCCCCCTCCCTCTCTGCCTCCTCCTCCTCCTCCTCTTTTCCCTGCTCCCCCGGCCCCCCCGTCCTCGTCATCAGCGGTGCGGTTGTTCCATCTCTGGCGCTCGACTTGCTCAGTTGGCGTAGACGTGTGCGTCTTGTTCGCTGAGCCACAGAAGAGCGAGATTTGGAGGCAGCTCGGTAAGAGTCCCCATCCGAGGAAATCTGTGGTCATGGTCGGCGTGCCAATCTGTTGCTCCATCGGATCTGGGTCCTCGGCCATGGATTTAACAAGTCTTTCCCTTCCTCTGCTCGGCGGCGAGCGAGGGGGGGAAGTGAGAAGGGGTGGGCCTTTTCAGAAGGCTCGGAAATCCCCCAGCCTTTTGCAAAGTTTCCTAAGCCTTCCCAGGAAATTGAGAAAGTCCCGCGGCCTTTTGAGAAAGCCTTCTCCTTCTCACGTCCCCCCTCGCTCGCCGCCGATGTTTGCTTCCTCTCGCCGCTCCTCTTCCTCCTCCCTGCCGCTGTTTTTTGGTTGGCCCGAAAAGGCCGCACGGGTTGGCCCGAAAAGGACGACGACGAAGACGACGACGATGAAGACGACGACGACGACGACGACGTGCGAAGTCGTCGTCGATGCCGGTGCGGCGCGAACTCCGCGCGCCGAGCGATGCGTGCCACGTGACCGTCGGCGCAGCCCTTTTTTGCTCGCTGGCAGGCTGCCCCGTGGACGTGGCCTGACCAGTCCCCGGTCCCTGTCGGCGGCGAGCGAGGGGGGAAAGTGAGAAGGAGAAGGCTTTCTCAGAAGGTTCGGAAGTCCCCCGGACTTCTGAGAAGTTTCCTAAACCTTTTCTGAAGACAGTAGAAACTTCTCAGAAGGCGCGAGGGCTTCAGAGAAGTCCCGCCGCCTTCTAAGGAGACCTTCTCCTTCTCATTTCCCCCCCTCGCTTGTCTTCGTCCCCTGTTCGTGGCGACCCGCTCGCCTCGCGTGGCGTCGGCGCAGCTCTTTGTGTTCGCCAGTTTGCCAGGTCGCCCTGTGGACGTGATTGTTTCATGACGTGGGCCCCAGAGGTTCCCCCAGGAACCGTTTTTGTCATCTTGAGTCGTTTTGCGGCGGTCTTTGGGCACGACAGAGGCTCCTGGAGGTCGAGAACGGCCAAAAACCATCCGTCGTAATTTGTTCCTTTGCGGCGGCGACGGCGGTGATTGCGGCCGCGGCGGCGACGGCGGAGCCCCGAGGCACAGCTCACGGAGTCGATGGCGCACCCTGGGGCCTCCAAGACGGTGCACCCCAATTGCCGCTGCGCTCCGCGCCCGGACGTCTTGGCTCGGTGCCCAGGAGGAGGCAGGAAGAGAAGGAGGAGGAGGCGGAGGAGGAAACAGGGGGAGGAGGCAGGAGGAGGAGGAGGAGGAGGAGGAGGAGGAGGAGGAGGAGGAGGAGGAGGAGGAGGAGGAGGAGGAGGGGGAAAGAGGAGGAGGAGGAGGAGGAGGAGGAGGAGGAGGAGAAGAGGAGGATGAGAAAACAGCAGAGGAAACAGGAGAGGAAACAGGAGGAGGAGGGAGAGGAAACAGGAGATGGAATTAGGAAACAGGAGGAGGATCCAGGAGAGGAAAGAGGAGGAACAGGAAACAGGAGGAGGAGGAGGAGGCAGGAGGGGGAGTAGGAGGAGGAGGCGGCAGGAGGAGGAGGAGGAGGAGGAGTAGGAGGAGGAGGAGGGATAGGAAGAGGCAGGAGGAGGCAGGAGGAGCAGGATGACGATGATGATGGTGATGGTGATGATGATGATGATGACGATGACGATTACGATGACGATGACGATGACGATGACGACGATGATGCTGATGATGACGATTCCGATGACGATGACGATGCTGATGATGATGACGATGATGATGACGATGATGATGATGCTCATGTTGATGCTGCTGAAGCCGATGATGATGATGCTGCTGATGAAGCTGATGATGATGTTGATGATGATGCTGCTGCTGATGATGATGATTTTGTTAATGTTGATGATGCTGATGATGATGATGAGGATGACGTAGAGGCTGATAATGATGCTGCTGATGATGATGATGATGCTGATGATGATGCTGATGATGACGATGACGATGCTGATGATGATGGTGATGATGATGGTGATAGTGATGTTGCCGGTGATGGTGATGATGATGCTGCTGACGATGATGCTGGTGCTGATGATGATTATGATGATAATGATGATTATGACGATGCTGATGATGATGATGATGATGATGATGATGATGATGATGATGATGATGATGATGATGATGATGATGATGATGATGCTGATGATGATGATGATGATGATGATGATGATGATGATGATGATGATGATGATGATGATGATGATGATGATGATGATGATGATGATGATGATGATGATGATGATGATGATGATGATGATGATGATGATGATGATGATGATGATGATGATGATGATGATGAAGAAGAGCAGGAGGAGGAGGAAGAGGATGAGGAGGAGGAGGAGGAGGCGGAGGACGAGTAACTAGGAGTCGTGTTTCACCCCTCGTCATCGGCGAACTCTTACCTTTGGAGCGGTAACCACACTGGGTGTTGGAAGGTCCGTTGTCCGTCTTGGTTTGCTTGAGCAGCGAGGATCCGCCGCCCGCAGATTCTTGGAGTCTGTTTTTTCGTTGTTAGGGTCCGGCGATACCCCGGGTTATTGGGCTCTCCGCCCCCCCCCCGGGATAACCTCACTTTGTCGGTTGGGCATGGTCTAGATGGGGCGCAGGGAGCTCACAGGGAGCGCTGTGTTCCACGGCGCGGTTGTGTGCACAACAGCGTGCTGGTGATTGGATGCACGTTGGTGAAACGTTGGGGCTTGGAGTGGCAGGGGGGCGGCGACGACGACGGCTACGACGACGGCGACGACGACGACGACGAAGACGACGACGACGACGGCCGACGTTGTCCATAGGCATTTGGAGGTGCACGTGAGCAGCGCGTACATTGGCATTGCCTTGTGAACAGGCAGCGAGGTGATCATTATTTGTTCAGCACTGTGCACGCATTAGATTCTGCTGCAGCAGAATCCGTTGTGTACGCAGGCGTTGTGGTGCACGCAAGCATAAGTGCACGCAGGCCGCGCGGTGCACGCGGGCATCGTGATGCACCCAGGGACTATCTTTAGACAGGCTTTGCTGCAGCAGCAGGTATAGTTCACGTAGGCCTCCCAGGCATGGTGGTGTACAGACATATTGTGCTGCATGGCCATTGCGATGTGCCATACTCTGTGGTGTGCACAGGCGCTGTGGTGTACGCATCCGCTGTTGTATGCAAAGTCGCCATGTTGCTATGGTGTGCACGGGCGTTGTGGGCACAAAAGATGACAGCGCCCCCTTCGCCAGAAAAGTTATCAACATACATGCATGTTGGATTTGATACGTTCGGGTCCCCCACGATTTTCCAGAATTCGGTCTCGCCGGGGCCTTGGAAGTGTACGCAATGTTGTGGTGTACACGAGCACTTTGGTGCACCAGGGCTGTGGTCCACACGTATGGTTCTGAAACAGCAGCAGTGGTGCACATAATCGTCGCAGTCTGCACAGGCATTGGTCTGTTGTACACACGGCTGCTTTAGTGTACGCAGGCATTGGCTGGTCGTCTTTAGGGCGGGTTTAGGTTGAGTTGGTTGAGTGTTTTTGTGTTTTGATGCCGACGACGATTATAATGATGGTGGTTATCAAATCGTAGTGCTGATGGTGGTGGCGATGGTGATGGTGATGACGGTGGTGCTCATCACATCCAGAATCACCATCATCACCATCACCATCATCACCATCAAAACCGCCCTCACCATACCATCATCACCGTCCCCATGATGATGATGATGATGATGATGATCATCATCATCATCACCATCCATACCATCAGCATCGCCATGGCCATCACCATCGTCACCATTGTGGTTCGTAGGACTTGGCTCAAGGTAATGTCGTCGTCCGCTCCTGCGGTTTCCCCGAGCCCTCCTTCGGTTTCCCCGAGCCCTGCGTCCTCCCCGAGCCCTGCGGCCTCGTCCTCTCCTTTGGTTTCCCCGAGCCCTGCTTCTTCGAGAGCGCCCTGCGGCTTCTTCGACAGCGGCCGCGGCGGTTTCTTCGAAAGCGGCATCCTCGAGCCGTGCGGCCTCGTCGAGAGCGGCCCCGTCGAGCCGCGCGGCCTCGGCGGCCTCGTCGAGGGCAGCTTCGCCAAGCCGTGGCAGCTGCAACAGCTCGGACGCCGATGCTGACGTAGGGTCCGACGCCGACGGCGCCGACGGAGTTGCCGACGCAGCGGGCTCCGAAGAGGACAGCGGCTCCAACAGCGGCTCCGACAGCGGCACAGCGAAGGCGAAGGCCGCCCCGAGCAAAGTAGTCGAGAAGTTCCAGCCTTCGTTGTCCATGACCCTGGAGGAGCACGTCGCCAGCCACGGCTACCCGAAGCGCGTCTCCACCTGCGGCGCTTGCAAATTTTGGAAGAACAAGGAGAAGCGGAACGCCTCGATTTCTTCAACGAATCCAGTAACACTGAAGAGTGAAACTTGGATAGGCTGCGTAGGTGGTAGATTTGCAGTCTGCTTGTTCTGCTCGGCGTTCATGGGCGCTCGTTGCATATCCACCCTAGGCCAGGGATCCGGGAGTTTCCAACGCAAGGAAAACGTCGTGCGCCATGCGCAGTGCGAGGAGCAGCAGGCAGCAGAAGCGGCGTGGAAAAAGCGGATTCGAGCGGAAGGTGCGCGCCAGGGTCTCCCCGTGTCTGCGTTCCCCACAACGGCTGCATCAGCTGCAGCAGCTGCAACAGCCGTGGCGCCTGCGCCCGTCGTCGTCCGCGCCGCCGACCAGCGCCCTGGTTGCCGCGCAGTGGTCGCCACCCGTGCAATGTTGGAGACGTCCAGTTCCTTCAGTAGTTTCGACGTGTGGCGGGGTGCGTTCGTTGGGGGCGACCGCCAAGTTTTGGAGTCTAGTCAGCAGCGCCGAAGGCCGGTGACCACCATGGCTCAGCACGAGAAGATCATCACGCAGAGGATCCTCAAACATGGTGCTGTTTTCCGTTTGGCTGCGGACGGCCTCGACCGCGCGTACCAGGTCGAAATTGGCACCGTGCTGTGGTCGACCCCGAAGGCTTTGGACTTCCTCCCAAGCTACGGTCTCAAGGCAGGCTGGCTGGAACAGCTGGGCCCCAGAGGGCCCTGGATCGTGGATCGGGTGATCGGGATGCGGGGGTTCCCGCGGGGCATGGACTGCGGCGGCAAGGCTTCCATGCTGGAGGAGCGCGTCCGTCGCGCGTGCCAGACGGCAGGCGGGGAGCTGGACGCGGACTTGCACAAGCATGTGCGACAGGAGACTCGGGCATGGTGCAGCGATGGGGCGGATCCAAGTGTACCCCTGGCTGCAACGGCTACGTTTCCTGGGCTGGCGTTTCACGCGTGGGGCGAGTCTCACTCGTCCCAGGAGGTTCTGGCCAATTCGATGAGAGGAGGCAGCGAAATAACGGCCGCGGACAAGCTGCTGGCAACGGGTAAGAAGCCGCCAAGTCTGGCCATATTCCTGACTACCTCCACCGTGTTCCGCAACGCATTCGGGGAGCAGCAGCTGGTGGAAGACGGCGCTGCGTTCGTCAAAAACTTCGGCTGGGCCCCCCCAGCGTTTCAACAGTCGGGCGAGGCCCTTAGCACGGGGAAGTCGGCGTTGGGAAGTTATTTTCCAGGCGCTCGGAGTGGAGTCCCAGGGGAAGGACAGAGATCGGCGCATTCTCGCCCGACAGATTCTGGAAGGGCTCGGGGGCGAGAACAGTTCGCGCCTGCTCCTGGGGGGGTTGCTGGCCGACTTGAGCGCGGAGAATTACTCCTGGGTCGCCACCGGAGACAAGAGCAACCCCGACGCTGCCAGCGTTCAATCCAGGGCCGTCGCTGTCCTCTCCAAGCTGGATACATTGTTCGCCCAGGGGAATATTCTGGGCATCCCCCACGCGTTTACTGGCGCCACCCTCAAGTTTCTGAAGGGCGCGAAGCGGTTCGCGTGCGGCACTGGCGTCCAGACCGTTGGTGTCGGCGATTGGGGAACGGGGCCCCGAGCCCGCGAAGCCGTCCACGCGGCTCTTCGACGAGCGCAGGGGATCGTGGCCAATGTGAAGGAGAACATGAAGCTATATCGGCCGGAGCATTCTTGGTTGCACGCCTTTACAGCCTTTCGCTTGCCTCCCTCCCTGTCCCTGTCTGCAACAGAGCATGCAACCGAAGCCGAGGCCTGTTTGAAGCGCATCTGCCAGGCGGCAGACCTCTCCGAGCAGGAGGCAATCTCCCAGCTGC